AGCTATATCATTTTATGCAGTGGTAATATCGCGTCAAATAAATTGATTATTACACTTATAGAAAATACTACAAACGATGCAGTGAACGCCATCTGTAGCACGATGCCTCATTTTATGATTACGTATTCTCCAACAAGGTCTACTTGTGTGAATATCTACTTGCTGAAAACGAATCCCGGCGTAGCCAACCCCAACGCGATAGGCACGTTAGCTTAATCGAATGAAATAATTCGAAATGGTCTGTATTCTGTCGAAACTGCCAGACGCGGATCGCGATTTCGATCTTTTTGGATCTCATCAGCACGTCGCAGGCAGCTCCGACAGAACACAGATCAACTTTTACCTGCTGTCTTAACAGTGCGTTCCAGAAAATACAACAAACGGCGCAGTGAACGCCATCTGTAGCACGATGCCTCATTTTAGGATTACGTATTCTCCAACAAGGTCCACTTGTGGTCTGTATTCTGTCGAAACTGCCAGACGCGGATCCCGATTTCAATCTTTTTAGAAGAGCTTAGATCTTAGCTACGCTGGGATTCGTTTCAGCAAATAAACATCCATATATTTGAATGGACCTTGTTGGATCATACGTAATCTTAAAATGTAGCATCGTACTACAGATGGCGCTTACCGCGTCATTTGTGGTATTTTCTAAAACGCGCTGTTAAGACAGCAGGTAAAAGTTGGTCTGTGTTCTGTCGGGATTGTCTGCGACGCACTGATAAGATCCAAGAAGATCGAAATCGCGATCCGCGTCTGGCAGTTTTGACAGAATACAGACTACTTCAAATTATTTTATAAAACAAAAAAAAACACTAATGAACAATATATACAAAAGTTTAAATTAGACCGAACAACACATCAAAAACAACATAAGAACAACAACAATAATAATAGTATATAAAACAACTTACGAATGATGAAGAGCTAGATTGGTTACTGGTTTATAAGTAGGAATTTTTAGGGTATTTATATAACAGGACTGTTAGTAAAGAAAAGGACAACATGCTAGAAGGAAAAATACTAACAGAAAATTAAAAGAATAGTTGAAATTAAATAAAACAGAAACTAAATAGCCAAGAAATTTGACCTCCGGCTGGCCAAATACACATTCGTAGTCTCCGAAATAAAGTTTGTAGGGGGTTCATATGTTTCGCCAGCGACGTAGACGCAACAAAAATGTCGTCCATGTAGGCATAGCAACATTCTAGGTCTTGCAGAACTTCATCAATGAAGCGTTTAAAGTTTGCGCTCCATTGCGTAACCCAAAACCCATGTGTGTAAACTCAAAACCCATGTGTGTAAACTCAAATAAACCGAATAGTGTTGTGATTGCGGTTTTCGAGACATCCTGTTTAGCAAGTGGGATCTGATTGAATGTTCGGACTAGATTTATCGTGGAAAATATAGTTTTCCCGCTCAGTGACTGGGAAAAGTCCTGAATGTGCTTCACAGCATACCGATCGGACTAGTTCTAGCATTTAAGGAGCAATAATAATCGCCACAGGGTCTCCACTGGTCGCTTGACTTTGGCACCATGTGCAGCGGTGACTTTTGGAAGGACAAGGGATGTCCAATTGAACCATGACCTCAAATTCCTTTTTTGCGGCTCTCATCTTGTCGGGAGCAAGTCGTAGTCATTACGCGACAGGTGGTCCGGGAATGGTGATTATGTGATGTTTAGTAGAATGGGCTGCAAACGTAGGAGTGTCTCCTGGTCGGGTTGTTCCCGGAAATTATTGCAGCAGCTCATGAAATGGTGAGGGGTCTGTAACAGTCTTAATGAAGGGTGACTTGCACTCAATCACTTTCCCGTGGGATGCGAGATGAGTGGTAAATTCTTCATATCCACTAATAAACCAAAGTGTGAGAGGAGGACTGTGTCGGTGATAGGTTTTGAGATGTCAACGACAACAAATCTCCATGTAAATTGTCGTCGGAGTCCTAAGTCGAGGGTTAACGTGAGTATTCCATATGTTGAGATAATGGTGCCATTAGCAGCGGAAAGTTAGTAATTTGACTTTTCTCTAGGTTGCGGAAGTTGTGAACGTGGAAACACACAAAGGTTAGCTCCAGTATCAACTAAATACTTTATTTTAGTTGAACCATCGCTGTTAAATAATCGGCGGGAGTGCGTAGGGCTGCTGTCATTGGTCGCCGACAACGACTGCCCATGTCGTTTCCCGGAGAATTTACTTCAAAGTTACAGGGTTTAGTACATCTTTTTGTATTATTCCCGAAACGCACATGGTACCAACAAGTGTCACTTTTTTTCTTGTTCGAAAACGTCGAGGCTGTTGTAGAGCAGCCAGGTTGATTTTAATTGCGGCTAGTTCCTGCAGGGCTATTGTTAACGCATTTTCCAAAAAATCTAGTCTGCTGTTAACCGTGTTAGTCTTTGTTGACGTTTCGGCAATGTTGCTTAATTGTCTGAAAGCTTCCATAATAGTGTTAGCAATCTCCGCTCTGTTCGCTAATGGTAAGTATTTATATGTAGCTAGCAGGGCCGGGACACGTTTCGGTAGGCGAGATACCCACAGGGTTTGCATAACGTCCTCGGGGAATTCACAGCCGGCAAGATTGCGCAAATGTAGAAGGAACTGCGTTGGCTTGCGATTTCCCAGTGGTTCGTTCTCCAGCAATCGCTTTGTGTTTTGCTCTTGAGATGTACCTATCCGCCTGATTAACTCACTTTTTAAAAGTTCGTAAGTCTGTTCACTGCTTGATTTTACGATAATGTCGTGAACTTCGAGGGCGTAGGTATTTTTGGTCTACCTGAACTTTGTGTTGTCCTTAACTATTCCGGCGGCATCAAAACCGCTTTCTAACGTAGAAAACCAAAGTTCTGGGTCTGACGAGATGAAGACTGATATTTTCACTGAAACAGGATCGACAGACGTCGCACATTCTGACACGCACTTTCCGGTAGTCATAGTTTTGTTTATTTAATGTTAGTCCAATTTGGCAAAGACTAAAGTATTAATTACACTTTTATCGGGGTTACCACTTTAGCGCCTTTTATAAACGGTTAATTAATAAAAGCACTAATAAATATACGTATAGTTCATATACCAAAAAGAACGTAATACAAAAACAAAACACAACATAAATGAAAGATATATACAAAAGTTTAATTAGACCGAACAACACACCAAAAACAACATAAGAACAACAACAATAAAAATAATAGTAATAATAATATATAAAACAATCTACGAATGATGAAGAGCTAGACTGCTTACTGGTTAATAAGTAGGAATTTTTAAGGGTATTTATGCAACAAGATTGTTAGTAAAGAGAGGAAGAACAATTTAGAAGGAAAAGTACTAACAGAACATGTAAAGACTAGTTGAAATTAAATAGAACAGAATTCGAAGAAAAAGTAAGCGAGGGAAAGAGCTATTAGTAAGGGATTTTGAGTAGGTATCGATGACGATGAAATTCTAGGTAAAAATAGCGATAGCGGAAAAATAGAATTTAGTTTGAAATGAAACAAAGGCACACACAAGATAAAAATCGAAAGTTTGACAATATTTATTATAGGTACAGGTCGGACGAAGGAAGCTGGCGAGCGGTCGCGCAGGTACTTGCCTATTTATGACCTATTTGGGTAAGTCACTTGGAACCGATACACAAATAAGCTTTCAGTCGGCGTACATTATAGTATTAATACAGATAGAACAATACGTACTAGAAAATGATGTAGAAACAACTTACCAAAAAATAAACCTATTACTTTTGTTTTATAGTTAGTTTTCACATTCACTGTCATCATGGGTATCTCTATCACTGTCACCAACATCAACAATTAGTTCTTCTGTTTGTCTGTCTATTACTTGCTCACTGATTCCTATTTTTAAATATTTAATCTACGCCCCTGATAAGAATACTGAAGAAAGAGTGCTGCAATCGTTATATCTAAAACTGCCTACTTTTGCCACCGCGCATCTACGCCATTTTAAAATTTCCGCCAGCTACCAGCGTCAGGCCTGTACAAGACACGAAAAATTAACATACAAAAATATATTCAAAATATATACAAAAAATTGTACGATTTTTTTATATATTTGCCACATACACAGGAGACCGATTCTGACAATAGGCCTTATTTATAAAAATAAAGCATTTACTTTTAGGTTAAAGGTAGAAGCAAAAGGTAGAAGTAAAAGCTTTTGCTACAATTTCGTGTTCATAATATATACCTTTTCCTTGCAAGGAAATATTTCGGATTGATAAAGTACAAGGTACTGATTAGCCCCTACCGATTTCGACAAACTAGTTGAAATTTGCATTGAGCAATCCACGTGTGTGTGTTCCGTGACAACTGTTTATTTTATTTGATTAATACATTTCTGATTTGCTTGTACAGTGTTAAATATTAACAGATTTAAAATGGTTCGCACAAAAACGGCTTCTCTACGTGTTTCGGGATACGAGTCAAGAAATTGGTCCGTCAACCATACGACATTCGCCTCCTCAAATCTAAATAACGTTTTAAAATCCAATTCTCGTGGTGTACGTCTTGGTTTGTAGTATTTTCTTATATGTAAATGCACCATATCAGCCATAAAAAGCACAACACTGGGACCACACAACTAAAGATTAGTTATACAAGTCTTTTCAGAAAAATTTTAACACAAGTATAGTCCTGCAAATATACAAATTTTTATGTTACAAAATGTGTGATCCCTGAGCAGCTACTGAAAAGTTGAAAAGAGATTCCTTCTTTTTTAGTTTTTGAGCAGATGCTAAATACAAATTAAGTTTGTAACCTTTTATTGTAAAGCAAACCCTCGAAGCAAAACGTTTTCCTTCACTTTCTTTTATGCATATACCTTGAAAGAATTGCTTCAATTTTTGGAAGAAAAAGGTAATGTTTCTTTTTATAAATACCACAAAATATCTCCGAGAAGATTAGTGAAATCTCTGAAAATTTTTGGGAACACTTTTATACTCCCTATAACCTCATTTGTAGTCGGTTCAACAACAGCATAGTGACGAGATAAACATTATCGTTTTCAGATTATGTCAAGTGTTATGTTATATTATGTATTTTATTTTAACAAATCTGTATCAGACGAATCGATCTACACATTTACGACATAAACACATCGAAGATCGAATACTAAATTGCCATTTTGTCGAAGATGTCAACTAAATGTCTTATAGCGAGCTTGGCCCTTCTAATTATCCATACATCGTCAGGTAAGCTATTTATGTTTGTGATATTATGGCAATTAGTTGAAATTTTTACGCCCAGAATTTAAACAAACAACTAAGTGATATTCTTTGAATGATGAATAATTCCAACGTTTAAGTAAATTATGGTTTTTAATGTGAAATTCATAGTTAAACAAATTAGTGCTTTGTGTGCAGTAGTTCATGATTTGATATATTTGAAACAAAACACTTAGATATTTTGCATTGTTTCATGAATTTTTATTTTTTATGTTTTCTTTTAATACTATCACATCCAATTCAACCAATCCATTGCTAAGGTCAGCAATGCCAAACACGGTCGTTCCAACGCTTGTGTGTCACCGATGGCAATTTTCTGGTGTTGGAAAACGAAAGGATGTCAATGACTATTAACAAAACAAAGGGGCAGATAATTGAACTTTATTATAATTCACCTCTCGATAGTACCATCAAATCAACGAACTTGGTGGGAGGAGGCTCTAACTATTACCTTGCCAATATTTATGTCAACGACAAGAATGCGACGGTTAGGCCTAATGTAGGAAATATAGAAATTACCCAGAATGTGAGTCTTCAAAAAGCAATGTCCGAAACAAAACCTTTTTAAAATTTAAATAATCGACAATATCTTCATTTAACCATCTCTGTTTTCGACCAAAATTTTGGTTAATACTAATTTTCTCAATTTCACATTGTGTAACTGCAACAATGAACTTATGAGCGAAACCTATTGGGATCTGTCAAATGGGAGGGGCCTAAAAAACATGGCGGACTTAAGGGAAAGTTTCAAATACGGGCTATAGTTTTAGGTGCAGCTGTATGAATTCCCCACTGAAAAATAATGATAAATATAAGGCAATATGTGATTGGACCGGTACGAACCCTAAACAAAGGAACTTTGTTGAAGCAGAACAGATTCTCAAAGCCGGTGATATAAAATACGGTAAAAATAAAGATAAAAATGAGTGGGCAGATTTTGTTAGCTTCATGGCGTATTGCCTCAAAACATACATCATCATCATTATAAGGTGGTCAGTTCTAAGACAGGTTGGATATGCACTTCCACTCTTTCCTATTCTGAGGTAATTTTCGCATTTCCCTAAAACTAGATCAACTCACATCCTTAATTATTTGCGAACGGTGATCCTAACTCCCGTTTCTGCCTCTAATATGTCTCTGACTAGATCTTCATGCCTGAGAAGGTATCCTACTAACCTATCTCGCCTATTTCTTATAGACTTTCATGGAGTCCTCTGTTCTCCTATTATTTCAAAAACCTCTTTATTTCTAACCTTCTCTATTCACGCTATCCTCATCATTCGCCTGTAACACCACATTTCCAATGCTTCTAACATTTTATTTTCCGCCTCGCCCACCGCCCATGTTTTGCATCCGTACAGCGCCGCTCTCAAAACACACACCTGTAACAATCTTTTTCAAATTTCTAAATTAATCGTTTACGAGCATAGAAGTGACTTCTTTTTCTTGAAGGCGACTCCATCCTGCTTTATATCCCTACTCCTTCTGTTCTGACTTATTCGACTTTCTGGATGCCTAAAATCGGTCACTTCTTCTAATTTTTCGCCTCCTATCTTTATATTAGCTCTTTCCTTACGTTTTCTTCCCTTGCATATCAATATCTTTGTTTTACTTTTATCTATTTTCATACAGTACTGTTTTGTCAGTACCTCTTCTATTTTATTTAAAGATATCTCTAACTCCTTCCTGCTAGACGCTCCTCCTCAAAACATCAAAGTTGATAGAAAATCCCCACGAAATTGATGGTACATTTTTATTATACGGTTAAATTTTATCAGTTCAATGCTCGTATAAAATCAGGTTGAGCGAAGAGTGTAAACATACCATTGCAACGTTGTTGTATTGCTCATTTTATTGATAAGTAACTCTTTGTATATTAAGATATGCAAAACAATAATTGACTCCTCACTATAACTAACTTCTTGAATAGAAAAGTACATGAGTTAAACATGAAGTCAACTTACTTTGTAGTAAGTAATCGTCTCTACGAAAATAAAGTGAGCACACTTTCATTTCAGAATTAACTTCTTCGATTTTTAAGATTATCCAAACTTCTAATTGATCTTATAGTTCTGTTTTAAATAAATTTTTGGAGTACACAAAACGATTAGTTTTTATTGGAGTAGTGAACACATATATTCAGGTCTGTATTAGAAGCGATATCACAACCTTTTACAACACAAACTAACTTCTTTTTGGATTTTGTACGTGATGAAAATGTTGCAGACTCCATAAGAATACGATTTATATGTTTGATGAATTGTTTTCAATATTATAATTAATAAAAGGTGGATAATTCATAATCAACTTACTACTGTACCCGTGGTAATTTTTCCCTTTTCTTAATATCATGCTTTGTCGTCAGATGGCGTATGTCCATTTGACAAATCCCAATTATTAGAGAAAACTTAATAGATAACGGTTGTCCAATTGTCAATGGAATGCCAGGTGCAAACACATACCTACTACGTCTTTACGTGTATACATAAGAATTCAGAAATTATTTTTCCATTCAAAAGGTGTTTATAGTACGTAACATGAAATTGGGATAGAAAAATATAAGAACAAAGGCTTTCACGGCCGGAATCCATAGTAGAATGATGATTCTTGCTATAGGGCCGTGGTTTAAGTGAACTATTGAGTCCAGACGTTTCACGTAGACCCCGTGGTCCCTATAGCCCGAATCTTCATTCTACTATGGGATAGAAAAGTGAAAAATTGAGACGTTTCAGTCACAAAGTTTTGCGACCCTTAATGTAACTAATTCAGTACTAAAACTATATCGGATCTCTAAGTTGCTAAGTAGGAATGGAATTAGCACGATGTTCACACCTACGACGAAGGTACGCCAATTACTACGAATCCCCAAAAACCAACTAAACCCACAACATACACCAGGAGTCCACTTGATTCCTTGTGGTGATTGTTCCAAGGTATACGTAGACATTTCGAAACGCATGATCACAACAAGGAAAAAAGAACACAAAAGACATTTGCGGTTGCACCAACCAGACCAATCCGCTTTAGCAGAACATTCTGGAAAGGAAGGGCACAGGATCTCCTTAGAAGATGCGCAAGTGTTAGTACGCCCGTCAGGTTATTACAATTTAGGTAAGAGAGAAGCCTTAGAAATTGCCTAATATCCGGATAAACTTAGCAGGGAAGATGGATTAAAGATAAACAGAGCCTGGAAACCATTGCTTAGAAACAAACAAACGAGGGTGCAACCTACCGGATCGAAACATTGACTATAATGTAGCACCAACCAACCGTGACCGCCAGACTAATATAAAAGCACGTCTAAGATCCCAAACACACCATCGTTACCGTTTACCTTTTACTTATTTCTTCCAATTTCAGATTTCAATACTGAATACGTCAGATTGACAGAAACGTCTCACTTCATATGTAACACGTAACAGACATCATTTGTATGGAAAAATCGTTTTTTAACTCTTTAAAACTTAACAGAGCGAAATAATACCGCGTTATTAAATAAAATATTTAACATCTAACAAATGACGACATTTACAGTCAAACTCCGCTAATTTAATTTAATTTTTATTTTATGCATTAAGAGCTCTTGCCACGCACAGCAGTATAATACAGTAGAATAAAATTAGTGAACACTGACGAAGTAGTAATATTTGTTAGTTAATCTTAACGTGGAAGTCAGTTAATAAACATTTAGCATTATTAACTAGTTACAAGAAAAAAATTTATTCGGATTTAATATTTAATTAAATGATTATTGTTTACAGGAAGTATGGTCAGCTTCCAAGATACTCCTTTCTTCGAAATTGATCATATAAGTGAATTATAATTAATTAATGACAATTAATCACGATCCTTTAATTTTTATTTACTTCTTGTTAGATTGTAATTTGAGAAAGATATTAATTAAAATTTTCTAAATTCACAAGGATGAACTTATAGACCTTGCATTCACAAGCAACGACACAGGCATTTGGCCAATTAACTTCGAGTTTCACTTGGTCCTCCAAAAAAATTCATCCATATTTTACTACTACTCCATTCATAAGTATTTGAGGGATGGCTACACTGCAGAGCAACTAAGATGGGCTATAAGGGCGAATATGGACATATTTAAATACTATAATGTCGACGGGAAGAGGGCGGGGACTTTGCCCCTACAGCGAGATGTAAAATCAGCCCAGATTGTATATGATTGGACCTACATGTTCAAAGACGGATCAGTTTATTCAAAATATCAGCAAATATCATCTAATGAAGATACAAACACTGTGTTCGGTATTTATGGCAATCGCTTTGGGCTGTCTCTACTGCAGACGCACAAAGATTGGGTCAGTGGCGGACCACTAAAGCAGGTTAGCTATCATTCATAAATTTCAAAATGAACACTTATTAATTTAATACGCTAATGCACGGTGAGGTTTAAGACTAATTTAGGTAATTGAATTTTTGCTTTCAGTATTTATCTGTTTAATAGACATTACTATCAAATTATATCTTTGGTAAATCATATAAAAGCTTCAGGAAAAGGTTGAATATATCCAAAACTTATTTTGTATCCTTTTTGATCAATTTTAAAATGAATCGCACTGTATAGAGAAATTTGAAATTCATTCCAAGCCAGTGGGAATGGCTCCAATTAAATTCAGTTCTTGCGAATAGATTAAACCATTATTAGTTGAGAGTAGATCGTAACCATAAGGTCTCAGCCCGAAGACTAATTGGATTTTTATTGATCTGCATAACTGAAACCAATTGCTCCTTCAAAGCTAGTCTGGATAATGACAATAGGCAACTTCGTTGACATTTTTAAGATAAGAAAAATGTGATCAAATCGAGATTTAGGTTAGTTTTACGTTCTTAGTGTCGCTTTATTAAAGCAAGAAATTTAAATTTTATAGAAATATTATAACACACAACAAATAACTTGCCCGCATCGCGGACTTTTATTGTTTTTCCATTTTTTAAAAAAATCATTTTAATGCTGTTCGGATGGATAAAATGGTTGTTAATGCATAATTTTCAACAAATCGTATCTATTGTTCTAGGACCTGACTACACACACTGGATATTTGCTTCTTTTCCACGAACATTCGGCACATTACGGTACCCCAAAATTGATACCCACCAAGGGATGGACCAAAGTGTACGGTCCGATCGGACTCTACTTCAATGATGGCGAAAGTCTTTCTCAAATGTATTCTGACGCTCAGAGACAACTCAAAGAAGAGGAGAAAAAGTGGCCGTACCAGTTTGTCACCGCACCAGAGTACTATGCACAAGGGAGAGGCAGTGTGTCGGGAGTACTTACAGTGGATGGGTCGCCGAATAAAGAGTGGACATACCTTATTCTAACCGAACCTCATGTTGATGATCCACAGTTAGAGTCGGCAACTTACATGTATTCCGCTGTGGCAGGAAAAAATGGTGATTTTATCGAAATTCTGTTTACATAAATTAATTAATTAAGATTTACATACAGTGTGACAAATTCACTAATTTTGAGACTACTTATTCCGAAACTCATTTATTTTATTTTTTTAACTCAAATAATACACATTAGAAATAATTTGCCACATAAAACCTAATGAAGAAGTTTCAATTTTTTTTATGGATAAACTGTAAAAATTATAAAAGAATAAAACAAACACGTAAAAGAATCAATACAATATCTCAAGAAATAAGAAAATTATGGGACTTTAAAGTTGCGCTTGCAAGAATAATTTTGTTACACGCGGCGCTCCATCGTGTGACGTCATTTGACCTAAATGACGCCGCACGTATTCGCCGAGTACGTACGAATGTATTGTTATGTAGGAGCTTACGCCGTTCGATTCGTATTTTGTTTATTTAGCCAATGGCGGAAGTTAAAAAAAAATACCTACAAATACGTCAAAGTGCAAAAGTTAAAAATTAAATAAACACGAACCAAGCAAGAGCCCTAGCGCGACTCTGAAACTAATACTTGAATGATTCGTGGTACGGTGATATCGAATACGTCGAATGACGTCACAAGCAGATCAGAAACCGCAGACGTTCCGTACTAAAATACGTAAATTTCAATGATCTATTTCTAAGTCATTTATTGATGGATTTCAAAAATTCTTTCGGTGATTGATTAGTTTTGAATTATATTTTAATACCATTACGTTGAATATAATATTAACAACATCATGAAACTTCTCCATTGTTAATTAATTATCTTTAAAAGTTCTTAAACATACTCAAAATTTTAAATACATTTAGGTGAATTCAAAATACCAGCTGTGAGACCAGGCACATACAAACTGCAAGTGATAGCCAAGGGTGTGGTAGGAAAGTACATTCAAGACAACATTCGCGTGCATCAAAAAGAGAACAGTGATCTTGGCACAATTGATTGGAAGCAGGAGACGCATGGCAAATTACTCTGGCAGATCGGTGTACCTGATAGAAGTTCCGCAGAATTTAAATCGCCACCTGGTTTTCCTTCACCTATCCCTAATTTAGAAGGTACTTCATCATTTTTTACAGTAGCAATTGTCGAGTCGGAAAATCACAGAATGATTATAATGCTAATTAATTGAATTTTAATGTACCAAATGTGATAATTTATTAGAGTACCGCAAGTTTGGCACATGGCTCAGCTATTCCAAAACATTTCCTAATGATCCAGACTTCACAGTAGGCAGCAGTGACCCGGCTGAAGACTGGTGCTATTTCATGCCTATGATCAAAACACCTGGCTTCCCTAATCAGCTCAAACTGGTCAATATCACCCAAAATGCGCAACCTACCAATTGGAAGGTCAGATTCGACTATAGCGGGTCAACCAGAGGAAACGCCACACTGACCCTGGGATTTGCTGCTAGGGTCAAAGCCGGTATTCGTGCGCTGATCAACGGTGAGGAGATTCTTGAGGTGGTCGATTTTGTCGGACCGCAAGGTGATTCTGCGCTGTTTCGTCATGCAGCGCATGGTATATTCCGTCAGCAGAGTGTGACGTTCAATCAGTCGCTATTGAAGGAGAAGAACATTCTGGAGTTCACACCCCCCGTTGCCGTAAGTCAAGATGATTTAGATAAAATGGTGATGTGGGACTTCTTAAGAATGGAAATAAGTAATTAACTGTGCTTTCATATGCTATTAAAAAGTTTTGTTACCTACTTAATTGTTATCAATAAATAAAAATTTTAAAATTTGTGTTTTGGCAAACACTATTACAAACTGCTGAAATCAAATGCGCATCACACTGATTATGCAGGTCATCCATCTACGATGTGATGGGCGAATTATTATTTTGTTAAACAGCCGTATATTCGAAGGAACACTCAAGTCTACGCGTAATGTTTTCGATACGCCTTACTGAACCAAATCTCGTGGTATGCGAAGTATCAGATTGGTGATCACTATTAAATGTAATTAATTTAAAATAAGTATCTTAACCAATAATTAGTCGCACAGGGATAATGTGACCCCACATTGCATTACTCCCTTAATAATTTGAAAATTAAGAATCTTCCAAAGCTCTCACCCGCACTATCTCCTCAATTAACCGTCTGATAGAGGCACTCGCGGTTAGTATCATCTTAAATCTCGTATTGTACACTGTGTCTCATATGTGTTTTGTCAATTTCTGACCCCACGCGACCAATTGTATAATAATTCTGTTTAGACTGGCCAGTAATCCTGACAAGGTAAGAGCCCTTATTTGTTCAATTACTTTTATTAATTTACTATTTATCTTTTCTACTAAAAAGCTAATTTATATTATTGATATTTATATGTTGTGTTTTACACATAAAATAAAAATATTTACGAAAAATTTCATAATGGATCCAGAAAGACCGCTGACTGTGTTGCAGGCAATTATGGAGTTTACTGGCGAAGAGGGCAATACTATTTCCCAAGAAGGTAATGACAGTGATTGTTTTATTCCCTAACAATATTTTACTACGATTAGGGTAGTTTTGCTTGATGTAGATTTTGTTGATTTTGAGATGAAATGATAGTCTTTTTTATGGTATATACATTTAATAACGTATTTACACTTTATACAAAGTGACATAACTTAATCGAGACGGTTAACTATATTATTGCTGTTATTGATAATAAAATATTGATATTGAGATTGATAATTGTTCGACAGATAAAGATAACTCGAAAATGGTTTGAACGATATTCATGCTGATTCGATACTGGTCTTACTAGTTATAATTTCTTATCCTAGTTAAAATTCAGAAAAGTATTTTCGGTCGGTTTCAAAGAAAAAGAAAGTGGAGGGTATGAGCTACTAATAATACACAAGTCACGTAGTCTAGTGGGATGAATAGACCGACGTTCAGTTAACAGAAACCGTAGGGGTTCCACTATTAGTACCTAGATATTATAACATGTTTAGAAATACATTAAAAAGGGCAATTAACTAATAAACCTAAGTTTCAACAAAAGAAAGTGCACAATAGATTTTATGATGAACTACATCGACAAAGGAAATTTTAGAGAAATGCAATCAAATTGTAAAACTGAACACAAAAGCAATCTTGAAATGTATACATTTAAATTTCTAAGTAACCATTGAACTCAATCGAAAGTTGAAACACTCCACCGGTTGAGAGACGTGCGATCAAATATATTTAAATATCTATGTCCACTAATTTAGCCCTAAAAATTTAAATTAAATTGTCTTTCTTAAAACACTCACTATTCGTTATCACTATGAAAACCTACTGGCAATGGTGCCAGTCTTTTAACGTTACGCGTAAGTTCACCACTAGCGGTTTTAACGCGCACATTTCTAATCACTCCATCAGGACCAAGATAAGTTTGCACAACTTTACCGAGTCGCCATTGAAGTGAAGGAATGTTGTCGCCTCGGACGATGACAATTGAAGCAATATTGATTGGGTGTTCTCCCTTTTTCCATTTAGATCTGACAGTTAATTCAGAAAGATATTCTTTCTGCCAACGATCCCATAGGTCTTGTTCCATTTTCTGGATCGTTTGCTAAAAAGACAGGCGATTTATAGGCGTTTCCAGGTAGTTCTCTTCTGGTAGGCTCATAAGAGAATCACCGATTAAGAAATGGGCAGGAGTAATGACTATAGGATCATCTGGATCAGAGGAGAGGGTCGTTAATGGTCGGGAATTAAGTACAGATTCAATTTCTATTACTAGGGTATTTAATTGTTCAAAAAATAGGAGTTCAAAGCCTATGACTCTGCGTAGATGGTATTTGAAGGACTTTACAGCCGCTTCCCAAATACCGCCGACATGTGGTGGCTGTGGAGGGATGAAGTTCCACTTGACTCCTTTGTGGGCCAGAAATTTGTTTACCTTTTCGTTGTGCTTTTCAGAGTTGAACAGTTCCTTCAGTTCATTCAGCACCAACGAAATTTGTTCCATGGTCGGAATATATAGATTAACATAATCCTCGTCTAGACATGAAACGTCGTAAAGCAGCCAAAACGCCGTCTGTGGTTAAGTCGCTGACAACTTCTATATGTACGGCCTTGGTCACAAGGCAAACGAAGATCGCCACGTGAACCTTTTCTTTCTTTTTCATTAATAAAGAAAGGTCCGCATTAATCGATTCCAGTGTTAAGAAAAGGTCTTGCTTTGTTAACTCGTGCTGAGGGTAGATCTCCCATGATGTAATCAACAGATGCAGGATTGACACGATCGCAACGGTCACATTTTCTGATAATGTGTCGTACTTGACTAGTTCCGTTAATTGGCCAGTATTTTAGACGTAGATTAGCAAGAGTTGCTTTTATCCCAGAATGAAGTCCATTAACATGTTCCTGTTCAATAATTAATTTTGTAACATGATGTGACCTTGGTAAAAGTACTGGATGTCATTGGTTGAATGACAGGTTAGCTTTTTTGAGTCTACCGCCAAATCTAAGTATACCATTTTCGTCTAAAAATGGTTGGAGACATAGTAAATGACTGTTGGTGCCAATTGGTCGATTTTTTTGAAGGTTTGCAATTTCGTTAGGAAATGTAGATCGCTGTAATAATCTTAGTATAACTGTGGATGCTTCACGTAGATCGGATATATTTAGGGATCCTCTGTTTTTATTAGGCCTTTTGAATCGCAAGCAAAGGACAATGACACGTTGTAATTTAATAAAAGATGAAAATCGATTGAGAATGCTTGTATCTGGAGGTTTAGAAATTAAACATTTTTGCGTAATTCGGGGATTTCTTCAATATTTGAAATTGTTGGTTGAACAGGTCAAATTTCTACTCCCCCGGCTAGCTACGTTGGTCCGTTTCTCCATATTTTTGTTTTTACAAATTCTTCTGTCGATATTGGGTATTGATGTTTTGACAGATTCATACAGGTTTATTAATAGATTGGCTGCAGATAATTCTAGCCGTGGGATAGTTTGAATGTTTTTTAATGGAGCAACCTTGGATTTAGCACAAAGAAGTTTGATTTGCACATTTCCATGAGGATCAGTGGAACGCAGATAAATGCATGTACCGTAAGCTTTTTGACTTGCGTCGCAAAAGCCGTGCAGTTGAATATTTATGGGAACCATGTGTAACACGTGCCTCTCGAATGATATAGAGTTCAATAACGGAAGTTGATTGACAACTGCTACCCACTTAATATGTCAAGTGGAAGGATTCGTCCCAGTCTAAACGAAGTTTCCAAATTTCTTGAATTAATAACTTTAGAAGAACAATCACTGGATTAAGAAGACCTAACGGGTCGAAAATCTTCGAAATTTCGGGAAAAATTATTCGTTCAGAAATAGGTTTGACAGTATAGATAATTTTATCTTCAGTAGAGTTCCAGTATAAACCTAATGTTTTTAATGTTGTATTGTTTTTATCTTGCAAGTGCTTGTTAATGCTGCAATCAGGAAGTCCTTCTAAAACTGCTGGCGAATTAGATGCGCATTGTCGTAAATTAAATCCGCCTAATTTTAGGATATTGATAACTTCATCGCGTAGTTGGATGGTTTCTTCTATTGTACTAGCTCCGTCCAAAAAGTCATCTACATATAGAGCTTTCTTTAAACTAGCTGCACCCTTAGGAAAATGGTTTTCTACGTCGTCTGCTAATGGATGGATGGATAGTACGAATAGCCAGGAAGGAAGCTGGCCCAAGTCCAAATGTATTCCTTGTTAATTGGTAGGTAGATATAGAACCATCATCCTCTCGCCATAGAATTCTGAGATATTTTTGATCCTCCTCTCGAACGAGTACCTGTCTAAGCATCTTTTCGATGTCACCTGTTATTATGAAATTTTTGTATTCTAAAACGGATAACAGAAGTGAACCGATCGTCCTGAATGACAGGACCGACCATAAGTGCATCATTGAGCGATATGCCTGAACTAGAAGTACCTGATCCATCAAAAACCACTCGAACTTTCGTAGTAAGACTCCATTCTTTAATGACGGCGTGATGAGGAAGAAAAAATCCATCCTCAGGTTCTCCCAGAATCCTAATCATGTGACCTAATTGAATATAGTCTTCGATTACAGCTTTATATTGTAAGAAAAAATCGCTGTCTCTCTTGAATTTTCGTTCAATACCTTGTAACCTCTTTAATGCCATGTGACGTGATGAACCTAATTGATCTTTTTTGTTATTGAATGGAAGTGCAACCACGGATCTTCCTTCTTGATTACGAGTTACATATTTTTTGTAGTAGTCTTCGCATTGTGTTTCTTGTTCAGACAGATATTTAACGGTGGCGCCTTCTTCTAGTTCTCAGAATCTGTTGATATCGTTATTGATGTTGGTTAAATTGCAAAGTGATTGAAGATTTTTATCGAATACGGATAGACTGCCACCAATTATCCAGCCTAATAAAGTTTTTTGAAGACATAAATCAGGATGTCCTTTATTTGAGAGTTTTTGTTGTCCGACACACGATAATGACAGAGACACACCTGCGCCTAATAGTAATTGAACGGATGAGGGCTTATGAAATTTTGGATCAGCTAGTTTGATATTTTTCGGAATTTGTAGTTGATTAGAATTGATTAATTGATCAGAAGTTTTTTCAGTTATTTGAGGAACGATAAGAAAATTGATTGTTTTTTGATAATCGTTGGTACCAGATGCAATGGTTGCAGTCAGCCAATTGTTAGAGACAGTAGAAAGATCGTTTAATGCACCG